TGAATTTTTCCGTATACCTTTATTTATTAATTTATTTTTATGACACTGTTTTGGTCTATGGAACTAGAACATACAAGATGTGGTATCTGCTGTGGGGGCATTGTCTTGTAATATACTAGTTAGTTGGCTGTATGCTTTATCTTATTCTGAATTTTAGTTAGAAAGACGCATATATGTATGCATTTTTAAAAATAATGCACAGTGTTGGCCAAGCTGAAAATGGAAATTAAAACGAGAGCATATAAAATTATTGACTGGGGAGAATTTCCTTAAATGGTTATTATAGTTTTTTCTAGTTTAAACACATTCAAGGCAAAACAATAAGAAAAATGGCTGATTTCTCATAAAAAAATGGAGGCCAGAGGACAATAGAATGGAACTTTTAAAATCCCAAAGTAAGAGAAAACTGTCAATATACAATTCAGTACCCAGGAAAAATTATCTTTCCAAAATAAAGGTGAGATGCTCTCTGATGACCATATTGCAATAATTGGTATGCCAGACAAAATAAATGGAATAACTCTTTCAGATCCTGGATAGCAGGCAGTGCAGGACAGTGATCTCTGAAAGAAGGGAAATACATGAAACATTGCCCCAGCAACTTGCCTATAGGTACTTCGCAAACTGTGGTACAGGGAAGGTATCCAAAGTAACCCAAGGACAGTAGGAGACTATTGTTGAGTTAAGAAGACAAAGATTGGCCCTAGCTGGTTTGGCTCAGTAGATAGAGCATTGGCCTGTGGATTGAAGTGTCCCAGGTTCAATTCCAATCAAGGGCACATGTCCGGATTGTGGGCTCAATCCCCCATAGGGGGCATGCAATAAGCAGCTGATCAATGATTCTCTCTCATCATTGATGTTTTTATCTTTGTCTTCCTCTCCCGTCCTCTCTGAAGTCTGTAAAAATATATTTTTAAAAAAGGAAGAAGACAAAGACTGAAGTTTAGGGAATAAGTTGCTGATCTTTGTAAGGAAATAGTTCTGAGATGAGGAAGGTAATTTGAAGAATAGCACCAGATATCTGCATTGGAATCCCTTGAGGCTTTGGCTGAATACTAAGTTGTTCACGTATAGGGAAAATTCATGATATCAGGCAAAAAATAAATGCTAGAGTACAGAAGCTGAGCACATTTGCCAGAAGTCTCTCAATGCAGGGAAATGTTAAAAATCTAACTTGTAAGAAGGGAAAAACCCTATTAAATTCCTAAAGCATTTAGTAGAACCACCAAAAGAATAGCTAGTATTTGATCTAAAGCTACATTTGTGGTAGGTCTAAAGTAACCATGGAGAATAGATTATTCTAATCCCTCCATAAAAGAGTAGACCTGCATAACCAATGGACACAGACAACAGGGAGGTGAGGGCATGAGCTGGGATTTGAGGGGTTAATGGAGGAATAAGGACACATATGTAATACCTTAATCAATAAAGAAATTTAAAAAAAAGAGTAGACTTACAAACTTTAAAATTGCAAAAGAAACTGAGCTGTTTGCCATAACAAAAACAAACTTTATTTAAAGAAATTCAACAAAATAGAGACATTCAGCAAAGGTATTTAGTGTTGAAAATTTACTAGATGTGGCAAGAAACAGGATAATGTGATCCATAACAAGGAATATAATCAATCCATAAAAAAGTTACCCAAGTGACATAGGTGACAGAATTAGCAGGTAAATGCTTTAAAAATGCTCACATACCCACACATACACAATCGGCTAGAGAATTAAAGGTACATATAAATTTAAGGAAAGAAGTGGAAGTTATAAAAAATTAGTCAGCTCTGGCTGATGCAGCCCAGTGGTTGGAGCATCAGCCCACCCACTGAAGGGTTGTTAGGTTTGATTCCAGTCAAGGACACATACCTGGATTGCAGGTTTGATCCAAGGCCCCAGTTGGGGCATGGGCAAGAGGCACACCTAATCAATGTGTCTCTTGCATGTAAATGTTTCTCTCTCTCTCTCTCTCTCTCTCTCTCTCTCTCTCTCTCTCTCTCTCTCTCTCTCTCTCTCTCATATCCTCAGGTGAAGAAATAAATAAAATGGAACTTCTAAAAACAAAAGTATCAGAAATGAAAAATATGCTAAATTGAATTAGCAGCAAAAATTAGCCACTTTAGAAAATAAGACTATTCAGTTGAAACTATACAACCTAAATGCAGAGAGAGAAACCAAGGGGAGAATTTGACAGAGCATCACTTATACCTGGGGAATAGCAAGCAGTGTCCTGCACTTGGTGCTCCTGGTTCTCAGGCTTTTAGACTCAGAATAAAGCCACACCAGCAGCTCTTTGGCTTTCATGCCTTCAAACAACATACACCTCTAGAGGAAGATAAAGTTTGACAGCGAAATGTGAGCAGAGGAGTGTTACTTAGAAGCAAAAGCAAAAGAGAAAGTTGGTGTGAAAGGACAGCTCTCTTTCACAGAATAGTTCCTGGCTCTCCTTCTGAGTTTCTTGAAACCTGCTAGATTATCCAGAGAAGGAGAAATTGGGCCTTGGCTATTTGGAGTCAGTTAGATAAAATCCTTGTTTGTCTGGGACTTAGGATCTGATCCCTGTAGGTTGACAGAGAGCTGTAGTGGGGATCCATTTTAAACCCCTTCTGTATCTTTGTATAAGAAATAATGCATGAGAATTGGGTACTCCCTGGCCCATTGAAACAAATGGAAAAAACATGTAAAAAGACTCCATAGTGAGAATCTGAAATTTTTCTGGATTCTTACTAGATCTACATTACTCTATGACTTACCTAGTTTATAGTAAGTACAAACTAAATCTCCAAAATCAGAAGAATGGACAAATTCATTGTGGTATACTGTAAAATAATTAAAGGAATAAACTACAACCACATGCATTACAGTGAAAAAAACTTTACATTATAATATTGAACCAAAAAAAAATCACATTGCAAAAGGACATGCCATATATGATTATGGAAAGTTTTAAAATATGTAAAATAATACAGTATATTATTTTTGTTATATGTATTAATAGTATTTTTAAATTACAAATGGTATGCCTAACACCAGTAATGGTCCCCTGTGGGGAGAGGGAGGAAAATGATTAAGGAGGTCACATAGGGACTAAAGTATATTTGTATGTTTAATGGACACATGAGTGTTCATCTTGTAATTTTATATATCTTTCCATATGGCTGAATTACTCCATAATTTCAAAAAAGAAGGATTCATTAATTTGAGAACTCAGATTTTAAAGATACATATAGATATTGATGGTAAATAACAGATAAATAACAGGAAAAAATGGATATATTTTCTATGAGATATAACCTAGACCTGAGACGAAGATGTCATTCACTAAATATAAAGTGTTTGAATACTTTAAAGAAGATAGTAAGATATATTCAATATCATATTTTAAAAATTAGCTTATAATTTATGTTCATAAGCCTCAGTGTTAATTTTTTAAGAAAACAAAATTCATCCTTTTAATTATTTCTTTCAATAAACCTTTTTTATCAGTTGATTTTAGAGAGAGAAGAAGATCGGGGGGAGAGAGAGAGAGAGAGAGAGAGAGAGAGAGAGATCGAGAGAGGAAGATATCAATTTGTTGTTCCATTTATTTATGCATTTTTTGGTTGTTTTTTGTATGTGCTCTGACTGGAATTTGAACCACAACCTTGTTGTATCAGGATGATGTTTTAATCAATTGAGCTATCTGACCAGGGCCTACATTTTTTAAATTTAAATTCTTTATTGTTTAAAGTATTACATAAGTCTCCTTTCCCCACTATTGACCTCTCCCTGTCCCCACTTCTTCAGCACATGACCTTACCACCCCATCTGTGTCCATTGGTTTTGCTCATATGCATGCATAAAAGTCCTTTGGTTGATCTCTTATTCCCTCATCCCCGCCTTCCCTGAGAGGTTGGACAGTTTGTTTGATGCTTCTATGACTCTGGTTCTATCTTGGTTTCTCAGTTTATATTGTTCATTGTATTCCACAAATCAGTGAGATCTTGTGACATTTATCTTTCTCTGACTGGCTTATTTCACTTAGCATAATGCTCTCCAGTTCCATCCATGCTGTTGCAAATGGTAAGAATTCCTTATTTTTTTTTTTACAGCAGCATAGTATTCCATTGTGTAGATGTAGCACAGTTTTCTAATCACTCATCTGCTGATGGGAACTTAGGCTGTTTCCAAATCTTAGTTTTTTAATTATGCTGCTATGACTATAGGGGTGCATATATACTTTCTGATTGGTGTTTCTTATGTTATATTCCTAGAAGTGTGATGGCTGAGTCAAATGCAAGTTCCATTTTTAATTTTTTGAGGAAACTCCATACTGTTTTCCATAGTAGCGACACCAGTCTTCATTCTAATGACAGTGTGAGATGGGACCTCATTGTTGTTTTGTTTCTCTCGGATGATTAGTTGCTTTGAGCATATTTTCATAATGTCTCTCAGCCTTCTGTATGTCTTCTTTTCAAAAATGCATATTTAGGTCCTTTGCCTATTTTTTTTTTATTGGATTGTTTATCTTCCTTTTGTTAAGTTGTATGAGTTCCTTATAAATTTTCACATTAAACCCTTATTGGAGATAACATTGGCAAATATGTTTTCCCATGCAAGTGGTCTTTCTTGTTTTGTTGATGGTTTCTTTCACCTTGTTTTTTAAAAACAGGGATTGATACAGAAGGGACTGTTTGAATTTTTTGTGTGTGTGTTGAAAAATTTCTTCTTGATTTAATTAGGATTTTGAATATTGTTTATCTGTTATTGATTTGGGGGGGGGGGTGCTTCCTGAATAAATAGTTGGGCTTTCTGAATTTTAACATAGTGTCATAGCTACTTGACTGGTCATGATGATGCTAGTATTTAAGATGATTGCCATCAGGCGCTATTAATTCCAGTATTATTTGAATGTTAAGGGTATTGTGATGAAGAAAACAAAGACATTCCTAATGGAAAAATAGTTTTAGTTTTGTTACAATTTTACTTTAATCTATTAAAATTATGATTTACATTCTTGTATTTCAGGGAAAAGTGGCTCAAACAGCGTGTATGTCAGCTTGCAAGCATTTAGCCACATCCTTGATGCAACTTTTGCTGGAAGCTGAAGTGAGGCAGCTCACCTTGGGAGCATTACAGCAGTTCAACTTGGATGTCAGAGAATGTGAACGTAAGACAGTAAACCATCCTTTTGCTTGTTTATTTTGCCTGCATACTCACTTCTATAAAAAGAAATTTAAGTCTGTTGTGTCTTTGTTCCTGATGATGTCAAAGAATACCTAGGTGACAGAAATCACTTATAGGATGGGTAGGAATAGAGTCTATCAGAAAGCTAACTCGAGCACCCAAAAGTGCTTAGTCCCATATGTGGAGCATAATAGATCCCTGACTACAAGGGAGTTTGCAATCTAGAGAGGGATATAAGGCAGACATGCATTTAACGGACACTAAAGAAAATCTGATTAGTTCAGTCTTAAGAGAAGGCAGTTCCCAGCCATTTCCTTTTTATGTTTTATTTAAAAGCTATTTTTACATCATATTTGCAAACCCTTAGTTTAAAGGACAAATGCTGTATTATTAGTCAGAAATGCTTTCTAGTACAGGTAGAAACAAAACCTTTGACAGAGTGGTTTAAACAAATCTTTTTTCTCAGAGTAGGTGAGCTACTGAATTCATTTAGTTGCTCAGTGCTGTCACCAAGGACCCAGGCTCTTTTGTCCCTTCTCCTCTCTCATACTTAGAGTGTGGACTTTTCCACCTCTGGGTTATATTTATAAGAGATAGGAAAAAGAGGCCTGTCTCACTTATTCCTTTTTCCTAGAAAATAAAAGGAGACACCTAACAAACCTACCTCTGTGTCTCACTGGTCAGAATACAGTTGTCTGGCCACCCTCACCACTAAGGGAGGCTGGGAGTTTGAGTGTCTGTCAAGGTGAAAGGGGAGCCTCACCATTGGCACAGTTGACTCATTGTGAATCATTCACTTTGTGTTAAACACAAAGTAAAACTTTGGTTAGGAAGGAAGGAGGAAGGAATAAAGAGTGTTGTGATGTTCATTGCTGTGAAATGATATGAAAATGAACCGAAATGATATGATTCAAAATGATTTTTCTGATTCTAAGAAAATTAAAATAGTGGAAAATTCTCTGAGTATGCTCATACTTCTGCCACAAACTTTTATTTTTACTGCTTATTGTTTTTCCTTGGTTAACTTTGACAAATGAACATTAAGGTTTTATTTATTGACTATGTTATTTTAAATTAATTAATTAATTAATTATTAAGACTTCCAGTTCCAGCCATCACTGAGTAACAGATGCCAAAGTCACCCTTCTTGGATAAACAACTGTAAAACTGGGTAAAATGTATGAGGCAACTCTTCATGCTTTGGGCAGCAGACAGCACAAGGCTGCGATCCCTTAGAGAGGGGAGGTGCACAAGGTAAACTTGTCATTCACTCTCATTTCCTGCCCTGAGCACTATCCAAACAGCAACACATGGAAGTAGGTCCCAAATATAAAGCAATGTTTTACACAGATAAATGGAAATTGGTGGATAGGGCTGGTGATGCAGCTGGGATTTGTGGGGCAATGGACTAGAGAACATGGAATTGTTCAGAGAAATAACACCAGAAATCTGCATTTGAGAGCCTGTGAGTCTTTGGTCAAAAACTAAGTTGCTATGTGCAGGGTAAAACTTTCTGAGGTTTGGCAGAGAATAGCTACTGAGGAACTGCTAGCTCAATAGGAATGCCGGAGGTTAGAGAGTGCTAGGAGACGCTAGAATTCTGACCCACCAGAGTGGATAGACCAGCTGAACATAGAAGGTTAGACCATAAGAGTAGTACTCAAGCTCTAGAAAAAGAGCTAATCTTGATCCTCCATCACAAAGCCTAATTACAACACTCAACAAGATAGAGATAATCTGCCAATAAAATAACTGCCTGCCAAACCGAAACTCAACAGTCTTTGAACAGAAACAAACACACAAAAATTCAGACTGTCAACCACATAGTAGCCATAATTTCACAGCAATAAAAGGCTATAATTTGACACGCAAAGAAGCAGAAAAGTGTGATCCATAACAATAAAAAAACAGGCAATAAAAATAGACCCATTGAGAACACAAATGTTGAAAATAGCAGATAGGCCTTTTAGGAATCTGAATAGAAATATATTCAATAATTTAAAGAAAAAGATGGACATAATGCGTGATTGTAGGTTTGGTAAAAAGTCTTAATCTACTGACTCAACAGGTCTTTAGCATGAAAAACACAAAGTCATACCCAGGGTATATTATAGCAAGATTTCTAAAAACAAACAAAAGAAATAAGAAAAGAAAGAAAATAAATGATAAAAAATAAAATCTTAAAAGTAGACAAAAAAAAAAAGAGAAAAGATACATTATATAATGGAGACCAATAATAAGAATTACTGCTTCTTATCAAAAACAGTGCAAACTACAAGGCACTAGAAGATCTTTAAAGTACTGAAAGAAAATAAAAGCCTATCAATCTAAAACTCTTTATCTTGAAAAAGTTTCATTCAGAAAAATTGTCACCAAAGGTCTGCACCTCAGCTCTACAGTGCACTTACATTGTTTAAAGATGTCAACAACAGTATCTCCTTTCCCACATCTTTTTCTAGAATCTTGGCACTTCCCTATTAAGATATTGCTTTTGCTGGCTGGTGCCGCTCAGTGGTTGAGCATCAACCTATGAACCAGGATGTCATGGTCCTATTCTAGCACATGCCTAGATTGTAGGCTCAAATCCCAGTCAGGAGAGGATGCAGAAGGCAGCTGATCAATGATTCTCTCTCATCATTGATGTTTCTATTTCTCTCTCCCTCTCCTTTCCTCTCTGTGAAATCAATTAAAAAAATATTTTTAAAAAAATAACATCTAATTCCTCTTCCTTTGAATCTGGGCTTGTGATTATATTTTATCCAACAGAATGTGGCAGAAGTGGCCTTGTGACTTTTGTTGCTAGGTCATAAAAGACAATGCTGCCTCCATCTTCTTCATTAGCATTAGAAGTGTTAACTACCCTAAGGTCTCCATGCTATGAGGAAACTCAACCAGCTTGTGTGAAGAGACCATATGTAGACGGCCTGATGCCGGACATTTTAGATTTTATGTTGCTGGTGGTGCATTTTGTTTTACTTCTTTAAATAGTAATAGACTTTGTTCTCACTTGCATTTACATTCCTTGAAATTGGTTGGATCCTTTTGAGACTTGCTTTCAGGTTTATAGTGGGTCCAGAGCAGCCTTTTGACTGTCTTATTTAAACCCAAATGGAAAGAAATGCCCTTTCCAGAATTCTAACCCAGGCCCAGGGACCTAGAGGTTTTTCAACTCTGGCTGGTGGGAACACCAAGTGTGCCCAGCTCTAGGAGAGCTCCACAACTTACTCTGCATATTCATTTATGGTGGTTCTTGGGTAGTCAGCCTTGGGTAGTCTCTTCCCATACAGGCACAAACTACTGCTCTGCCAAACCTTCAGGGGCACACTTCTCCAGTTTTCCTGAGTGCCCTTTTTTGCGACCTCTTTCACTCTGGTGGTTGGCCCTGCAAATGCTAGTTGCCTTGGCATTCTTAACCACAATCTCTGACTTTTTAACTCAGACTACTTTGTTCCTTTAGGTTCCCTCCCTTTACTGGCTTTGCACAATGGCTTGGAAACTCCCTCTAATTGTGCTCCCCTCAAATGTTTTCCTTCTTTCAAGAATCACAGTCCTGCCTGGATTGTTGCCTGATATCTAAAACCATTCTTTCAGATACTTTATCCAGTTTTACAGTTTTGTGTTTGTTGTTGTTGTTGTTTGTTTGTTTTACAGTGGGTGATAAGTCCTCTATTACTCCATTATGACCTGTAACAGAATAAATGAACGTCTTTTCAAGTTCTTTTTAATTTTTATTTTTCATAGAAATAATACCTCCTCTTTATAGAAAATTTTGAGGGAAAAAGAAAATAAAAACTACCATAATCTCATTATTCAGAAATAAGTACAATTCCAGGGATTGCATCCTAACATGATAATCTAGCAGCCACCAGATTCCATGCATCTGGTTAGCCAAGATGGTCTTACATGCTTCTGTCTTAACCAATTACATACTAGGAGAATAAAAACATGATTAGCTGGACTAACAAATATTGTTTCTTTTAATATATATATATTAAAAGAAACAATATTTGTATTGTTTGTATCAATATATATATATATATATATATATATATATATATATATATATATTGATTTCAGAGACTAAGGGAGAGGGAGAGAGTGCTAGAAACATCATTGCTGGAGGGAATTATTGATCAGCTGCCTCCTGCACACCCCCTACTAGGAATTGGGCCCAAAAACCTGGGCATGTGCCCTGACTGGGAATCAAATTGTGATTTCCTGATTCAGAGGTCAATGCTCAACCAGTGAGCCACGCCAGTTAGGCAAGACTGATTCTGGATGTTTAGATTTAAGTCACTATTGTCTGAATTTTGATGAAAGAATAGAACCTCAATCTGCTGTGAAGAAAGGAAGAAAAGGACTTCGGAGTAGGCATCCAACAAATACTGTTAGTTAAACAGCAATGTCTGATGAATGATTGGGAATGATTATAATTACTACATTTAAAAATATTTTTATTGCCGAAACTGGTTTGGCTCAGTGGATAGAGCGTCGGCCTGCAGACTGAAAAGTCCCAGGTTCGATTCCGGTCAAGGGCATGTACCTTGGTTGCGGGCACATCCCCAGTAGGGGGTGTGCAAGAGGCAGCTGATTGATGACTCTCTCTCATCGATGTTTCTAACTCTATCTCTCTCCCTTCCTCTCTGTAAAAAATCAATAAAATATATTTTAAAATATATATATTTTTATTGATTTCAGAGAGGAAGAAGAGGGAAAGAGAGATAGAAACATCAATGATGAGAGAGAATCATTGATCAACTGCCTCCTGCACACTCCACACTGGGGATTGAGCCCGCAATCTGGACATGTGCCTCAGTGGGGAATGGAACCATGACCTCCTGGTTCATAGGTCAACCACTGAGCCATGCTGGCCAGGCCATGACTGCATTTTTGATAGAGCTAAAAGATAAAGAGAGATGGAAGATGATAAAGCTAAATTTATGGGCCTTAAGGAGGTCTGGGAGAAGCACTAATAAGTAAGGA